GGTGGGTGGGCTGGGACATCGGAAGTCTTACACCTTGGTGTGATCGTGCCCAGATGGCTCCCATTTTACAGATGAAGAAATGGAGACTCAGAGAGCCAGGTGGCAGAGCTCAGGTTCCATCCAGGTGGGCTGCCTCAAGAACCCTGCCCTGGGAAGGGTAGGGTGGGAGGAGGCAGAAGCCTGTGGGTGGGGGCTGGGGCCAGGACATAGGATCCCTGGGAAGAGACCCCTAGCCCCCCCTCTGCCACCACCCCTTTTGGCGGCAACCCTGAGGGCCCGGTGACCCTGCCTGGGCAGCCGGCCCACCCTCTCCCATCTATTCTGCCCACTGAAGCTGTCACTGGGCCTCCCACCAGGTTCTTTCTGGCCCACCTGGTCTGCTCTCTCTTCTCTTCTATGCAGGGTTGGACTGCACCCACCAAGGACAAGCAGGGCAGTGCAAAGCCACGGGGAGCTCAGAACTGCCACCTCATGTAGCTCCATCCTGGATCGGGCTTTGAGGTACAGGCTGAGCCAGGAGGAGGAGTGAGTGAGGAGCCAGCAGGGTCTGCAGGCAGGACAGGTAGCCGTGGGAGGGCTGGGCTCGTCCCCTCATCTGCCCAGCTGGGCTCCCACCCCCACCCCCAGCCCACCCCTGCAGCGAGGGGGTGACCAGGTCCATGGCACAGCCCCCAGCGCTGCATGGAGAGAGTGAGTCAGGACAAAACCAACAGGCCGTGTCCATCACAGCCCTCTCTGTGGCTGCCTCACGCACACGCCCTCTTCACGTTCACAGGCAACCCCCCTCTACAAAATGCTCCACTGGTTTTGGCATCTGGGTTCCTGCGTGATGTATAATCCCTCATCCTGCCAACTCCTGTTGGAATATCCTACAACCTGTGCACTAAATAATAAATGTACCACCGACTAAGAGGAAAGAGAAGACATTTTATCGCCACCGTAATTATCAATAGTATATGACACAGAAAGGGAGGGTAAGGATGGAAAGCTACGACCCTCTGGGCACAAGGTCACTGCCAGAATTTAGTGTCTCTCCTCTCGGGCCTTTCCCTGTCCTCCTCTCCACCCCCAGCCGGTTTGGCTCGCTCTGAAAGGGTGACTGGGAAACCTCCCTCCACCCTGGGGACCTGAGCCTCAGCGGTCTCTGTCCTGTGGTAGCCGCTACCCCCGCGTGGAGGGCGCTTGAGGAGGGCACTGGGCAGGGCAGCAAAGGCCGGCCTGGCTGGGCTGCGGTGGCTGGCAGTGGGTGCCTACTGTGAGCCGGGCGCTCGGCTGAGCCCGTCACAGGGCGACCTACAGCCCCTTCCCCAGGACCTCTCTGTGAAGCTCGGGCTTCTCAGAGTGTGGGTGTGGCCCGAAGAGGAGCCATCCAGGAGCCCAAGTGGCAGCTGCGCCCGTGTCACCGCCTGAAAAGCCGCAGCACTCACTCCTGCCTGTGCTGTTGGCCAGGCTCAATGCGGGCCAGCCAGACTTCAGGAAAGAGGAACGGCTCCCCTTCCTGCTGCTTCTGTGGTCCATCACAGACACCCCCGTTCCCACTTTCACCCCACCTCCCTTCTCTTCTTTCCTTCCAACTCCTCCCCAGTGCCTCCGCCCTGACCAAGGCAGAGCAGGTGAAGCCTCCTGCCTGCTGGCCAGGGGACTCAGGACCCTCACAACGAAAAAGGACCCAAAGCTGCAAAGTCCTGGGAAGGGTAGGAGATGGGGTGAGGGGGAAAAGAGGAGCAGAGAGTCATTGCAAGGCCCCCAACACACCTTGGAGGTAAGGAGGTTTCCAGCCCAGAAGAGGGACCCTTCCTGGGCAGCTGGTTCCCACGCCCGGCAGCCTCACTGTGCCACGAGGCATCTGAAGCACACTGGGAGAGCCTAGTAACCGTGAGACAAGGAAGCGGGGGACCTGGCCAGAAGCCACCGACCTAGGCAGATTCAGGGGCCCAGCAACCTTGAGGGCGCCTCTGGCTCCCCACTTGCCACAGACCAGCTGCAGGTAACACCAACACAGAGCCAGTCCAAAAGGACGCTAACTCTGGCAGCACGCCCTGCAGCCCTAGGGCAGCTCCCACTGCGGGCGTGGCTCGGCCCCCAGGCTCTGCTCTCCGGGAACTGATTGCCCAGCATCCCGTGGCCACTGTTGGAGCCAGGGCCTGTTTACTTGGTTACTTTTCCACTCTGTTAACTCAGTGTGTTTGGTTACATTTCATCACCCTGAAGCCACTGAGTTTCCCTTTGGCCTCCCTGAGCTATGCACCCCAGGCCTGCTGATTTCTGGATTTCAAAGCAAGAAAATGTGCTGTGAGATTAGAAAAGGGACTCTGGCTTTAGAAACCAAGACGGGTTTCGCGAGGGCATGTGGCTGTGGCCGGCCCTCTTCGTGGCAGGCGTTTTCAGCATTCAGTCCGCCCTCCTCTGTCCTCCGGGGAATATGCTGTGCCGAGTGTCACCTCGATTAACCCTCCCAGTTGCCACGCACAGGGCAATGTCAGTGCCATCCTCTTCGGGCTGACCTGAGGTTTCCATGCTGAAATCTCTTTACCTTCTCTACACCCCAGTTTCCAGAATGCCACAATCATCTTGCTGGGAATTTTCATTGGCTGATGCTGCTACCAACTCGTCATGAATACTCTACTTAGTTTGTTTCTACTTTGTAGAAGACTAATCTTTAGTCACTTGCTTTCTTTTAATTTTATTTATTGATTTGAGAAAGGGGGAGAGAGAGACATCGACTCGTTGTTCCCCCCATTCATGCACTTACTGGTTACTTGTATGTGACCTGACCGGGGACCAAACCCGCAACCTTGGTGTCTCCGGACGATGCTCTAACCACCTGAGCCACCCGGCCAGGGTGTTACTCGCTTGCTCCCCCCGAGTACGACCCGCTCCCGTGAGGAAAAGCTCCCTGCCGGTTCTGCTCACCACCTACCGCATGCTGGCACCCTGCCCTGGCCCTGGGCAGCCTCCCTCTCCTCCTCCTCCCCTTGCCCGACCTCCGTGCCCGTGTCTCTGGCCTCCCTGCTCCCAGAAGGTTGCCTGCATTCGTGCCTCGGAAAGAAGGTTGGACTCACTGCCCTCTCAGGTGCAGGTCATGGCGCATCCAGTGCTCACTTTATAAAAGAGAGGGGGTCTGTTAAGCTTGCCTTTCTGTTCTGTATTTGTGACACTTTGACATCTTGGGGGCCTTGCTGGCCCTGAAGGGACTGCCCCCTCCCCCCCAGGGCTAGCCAACCCTAGAGATACAAACAGCTCTGCACCCATCATATGCAAACCAACCATCCGGGCGTTCCCATCCCAACACCTGCCCTACGAGCCCTCGGACGCAGCTGTCAGCCCTGCGCCCGGCCACCTGGAGCCAGCGCCCGGCCGACCAGGCCGGCCCTGCGCCATCTTAACCCTGCACACCCTGCCTCCTCCCTTCCTGCCCGGGAAGGTACACTAAAGGCTCTTGCCCTCACTTCCCCGCTGGCTGACCCTGGGGCTTCTCCATGTGGCCCCCAGTGACATGGAGTGCCCCCTCCTCTTGGGAATTTTGTGTAAGAAACGATCTTTTCAAAGGCAGTTGTCTCCTGATCTATTGGCCTTGCCACACCTGAAAAACGACAAAAACCTACATTTTAACACAGTCTGGAAAAGGGGAGGAAAACCTTCATTCCTCAGAGACCCAAAGCTTGTGAGGGCCAGTCTGAGCGGCCGTCCCCCGGGGCAGCCTGAGCTGTGTGCTCAGCCGAGCAGGCCTGCATTTCTACCTTCGTTCAGGGACACGCTCACCAAGGGAGGAGCCCCGGGCAGCAGTGGACAGGGGACTATGGTGTGGGAGGTAAGCCCTCTGTAAAAAAATGCAGTTTAGGTGGGGACAGAATCAAGATCCAAGTGACAGAACATGCTGGAAACGTAGGCTTCATGGCCCAGGAAGTCAGAGAGCCACGCAGTACTTATGGACATTTCTACCTCAAAAAGCAGACTGCACTTGAGAAGATTTTTTAAAAGTTCTGGGTCATTTGCATTTTTATTATTTATTTATTTTCCAATTACAGTTTACATTCAATTTTATTCTGTATTAGCTTCAGGTGGACAGTATAGTGGTTAGACAATCATATACTTTACAGAGTGTTTCCCTGACATTTCCAGCACCCACCTGGCAGCATACAGAGTTATTACACTATCATTGCCTATATTCCCTGTGCTGTGCTTTACATCCCTGGGACTACTTTGTAACTACCACACTGTGTTTCTCAATCCCGTCACCTTTCTCACCCAGACCCCCATCAGTTTGTTCTCTGTCTCTATGAGTCTGTTTCTGGTTTTTTTGTTCATTTATACTGTTCTTTAGCTTCCACATACAGTATAAGTCAAATCATATGGCATTTATCTTTCTCTGACTTATTTCACTGAGCATAATACCCTCTCGGTGCATCCATGTTGTCA